ACGAAGTGGCCTACGTTTTGGGTCAGATGCAGAAGCCGTGTACTGTCGCCCAATTGGCCGCCAATTTGGCTGATTTTGGCGAGAATGAGATGGTTAGACACGAGTGCGCCGAGGCGTTGGGCAATATTGCCACCAATGAGGCACAGCTCGAGTTGAATAAGTATATCGAGGATGAGAAGCAAGTGGTCAGGGAGTCGGTTGAAGTGGCGCTAGATATGAGTGATTATAATAATGGCCCGGAGTTTCAGTTTATGAAGATTTTATGAGATTAAAAGCTATCAGTGAAAAAGGAGTTTATTTCTACACTGAGACAATCATCAGGGCTATGATGACTAACTGGTGTTTGAATATTTTTGTAATTTAATTTTCAATAAACCGTATGATTTTAAAAATCAGTAAAATCCTCAAGAAATTGACTATACCATATTAACTTTAAGGCAAAAAAGTATTGAATATTGAATAACGTGTTGAATAATTTCATAATTGAATAAAATATTTTATTAAAAACGTTTACAACTCAATGGTACAATCGTTTGATAATAGGATAAATAATAAAATGTTTATCTATAAAATGATAATTTGAAATTGAATGCAAAATCTATTCAATGATCCGATGCCTGCACTTCTTGGTTGAACTCCGGGTTCGTTGCGATACTGTCATCGATGGCCGACTCAGGGGTAGACTCTTGAGGTTTCTCTTCGGCAAAGGTTTCCGTTTGCTGTTCCGACTCCTGCTGTCCATCGGTTGGACTATCACTCGAGACAGTCGTTTGGTTGTCTTCGGGAACCGTTTGTGGGCTGACATCGTGTGTACCACATTCGCATGGATTGCAATGACAGGGATCGCATTTACACTTCTTTTCCTCGACTACCGGCGCTTCCTCTGAGGCTTCATCTTTAGCGACAGCCGACTCGTGAACGGGATCTTCCGATTTGACTTCCGATGACTGCTCTTCAGGTGTCACAACTGATGGCTCGACTTCCGGGGGAATGACATTAACCTCTGCCTTCACTTCGTTGTCATTAGAAGACTGTGGCGTCGATTCCTCAGCCGGCGATGGAGTGGACGATCGGGGGATGTCATGAGTCTCAGCGACAGTACTATCGCCGACATTAGGCTGAGATTCAGGGCATTTGTTCTCGTCGTTTGTGGTACCACTTTGAGGGCCAGTGGTGTTAGTGTCGGAAACTATGGCACCGGTAGTAGTAGTAGGCGTTGGTTCAGTAGTAGTCGCTTCGCACGTATTATCTTCAGATGTCTTGGCCGGCGAGGATTCTTCGCCATCGTTTGGACTTCTCTTGAATATCGAGAACTTTAAACCCATTTTAAAAACTTATTTCAGAAAATTGATTATAAAATAAATTCTTAAAATAGGAATTCCATATAAAATAAGGCAAAAACTAGTGCTAGTCTAGAGAGACTACTGGTGCGAAACATACAGCGCTAGGCATAGGCTCACGAATGGAGACGTTTAGGAATTTGGCGTTTCTTTTATAATATCTTTTTTGGGACCCAAACGACTGCCACAACTCCTCACGTATTGAAAGTCTATTTTTACATTCAGTGCCACAAATGAATGGCTAAAATATCCCTAAACTTTCAGCTTATGTGTCGAGTAACTCAAGTATTGACTCCCTTTCCCACTGAGAAGTTTGACTTATTCCGTGAGCCAATGAATGGGAAGGCTGTGTATTGGGTGCCAAAAAAACTTTTTATTCCCAGTGTTCATGTGTTTCCAACTTTTGAAAAGCAACTCAAAAAACTTGTGTTTAGTTTAAAAACAGGAGATATAAGTGTCTAAATAACAAGTGATAACACATATGTTGTCGATATATACAGTATATAATGGAAAACTACAATTACCGTGCACATAAATGTTTGCAAAATTACTAATTTCCAAACATACTACTATAAGATATAAGTGTCTAAATAACAAGTGATAACACATATGTTGTCGATATATACAGTATATAATGGAAAACTACAATTACCGTGCACATAAATGTTTGCAAAATTACTAATTTCCAAACATACTACTATCACTGACAATTGGGATATATGTACGCATACCGTTCCCCCTTCCTACTAATGACTATGACTACTGTGCCCTTAAAACCTTTCAAACCTTTTGTGTCTCGGAAAATATTGCCTACATTTCCTATACCTTGTTGTGTTTATATCTCCCTAAATATGACTACTATTTATAAACTCCAGTTCCTGTAGGAAAATACATTTCACGCATCAGACGAGTGACTCTCAGAATAAATATTGATTTAAATAAATATATTTCTCATACCATATACTGTAGTCACATCCCATACCTCCATATCATGCCTATCTAAAGTGAATGCTATATTAATTCCTATCTCTCCGCTAATAAGTCACATATTATTCACACTTTAATTAATTATAATGTGCGCTCAGATATGATGGATAAGTTTAGGATTCATCACAAATATGTGCAATATTAAAAATTAAAGTAAACATTAGTTAAGAGTATGCCTTAAACTGTATGCGAGTGTATGTGTATCACTACTAGAAAAAAAGTTTTTGTTTTGGATTACATATAAAAACTTGTCTGAGTTATGAATAGATACTGTTTTTAAAAAACACTATGATAATAGTTTATAAATAAAATAGTTTATTGACTGAAAATATGAACACTATTTATTATATGAAATTATATATTCTGTNACTACTAGAAAAAAAGTTTTTGTTTTGGATTACATATAAAAACTTGTCTGAGTTATGAATAGATACTGTTTTTAAAAAACACTATGATAATAGTTTATAAATAAAATAGTTTATTGACTGAAAATATGAACACTATTTATTATATGAAATTATATATTCTGTAGATATACTGTACAGTATATTATATAGTTAATGTAAGTACTGTATACGATAATAAGACAAACTCAATGTCATAATACAGTATAATAATTGCGATGTTTATATCAATAGATATAATATATTAGCGAAAAATTAGTGAAAAAAGTAGACAAACTAGTGAATTATATCGCATGACTATAATATTAAATAACTTTATTATCGGTGTTTAATTCAATCACGAGTTTTAGTGTTGATTTTCCGTTAAAATCATTTGTCAGTCATATGCTTAACACATATAAAAAAATAATAGACAATTCAATAATTAATTATCAAATATTACATAAGATGCCAAAATCGGTTAAAAACTAGCATTTTCTATACAAATATGTTTTAAACAATTTTCACTCAACTTATAATTAAATTAATAAAAAAATAAAACATATAATTGTATTTAAAACTAAGACAACACCTTATATCTCGCAAAATGATACACAATTATATGGTGTGTCCTAAAAGACTTTAACTCGCTTATTAAGTTAACAAAACAAGATTATCTCTGTGATTTTTTCAGCGTATCGCTAAACACACACACAACTAAATTAGCATTACTTTCAATGAGTGGCAAACGACTATTAAATGTATTTTTCACTGGTAATTGACAGTACCAGTGTATATTTAACTAGCATTTTGATGAATAATAAAATTCTTGTTAAGAATTTCTCGCATTACATGAAAAATCTCCGCAATTTTAAGTTAATTTTATTGTGTAAACAAATACCAGAATATTTTTCGTGTATATAAGCGTTGGTTTAATAATAAAATAATCACATTTTCAAACCTATTATCAAATTATTTGTGATTACTATTAATTTGATTGACTATCCGTCCGATATAATAATTGATTTGAATTTTACATACAATCAGTTGAGACTATATACTGTATAATAAAAATAGTTTGACTCCAAGAATAGCTAAATAAAAATAATAAAAAAGTTTTTGTGCATAAAAAATAAATAATAGATTCATTGGCAGCGAATTTACTCTACCCGTACTGGCAGTAGATTTGCTAATATTATTCATTCATTAGGAATGGGATATGAATTGAACCCTAAAACCAATGGCAATGTTAGAGAGAGAGAGAGAGAGAGAGAGAGAGAAATTTGTTGTCTATATCTCGGCATTTAATGCTCTTTTGGTGAGACTCTGAACAATATATTTATACACAGAATGCACAGTAACTATAGTTTTGTGAAAAGTTTTTGGCACTGGTATTACTACAGTATACTAGTAATACAGGAATATAAGGGCACTGTTTAGGCTGTGCTATAGTTTTGATGTACAACTATAACGGGAAGGAGAAGCGGTTGTAATTAAATTAGCGATTCTCGTCCGCCAAAGGGGAAACACTACACACACTGGAAACACAGGGCTTATTGATTGAAAATGCTTTGCTCTAAACGCCACTGCCTTTCCCATCCTCATCCTCAACATCTTCATGAGTGTAGTCGAGCTCTCTCTCTCTCTCTCCTTCTCTCTCTCTCTCTCTCTCCCTAACATTGCCATTGGTTTTAGGGTTCAATTCATATCCCATTCCTAATGAATGAATAATATTAGCAAATCTACTGCCAGTACGGGT